GTATAAAAATATAGTTTGTAATTCAATGATAAAAAGGGTTTATTTAATATAGAAATTATTTTTAAATTATTTTATATTATTGTATTCTATTAAATATGATAAGAACGAAAAGCAAATGTCCGCTTATCACTTCTATTGCGGTACTTAGCTTAATTTTTTCATACAATACAGCATCCAATCTGTTATCGCTATTAAAATGAAAGTATTCTTATGTCAGTTTAAGGCATGCACATATTACGTTATCTTCATATAGTGATCTTTAAATTATATAACACATATCGCATTCATTTTAATTAATAATAACTCATTTTTGAATTCTTCATACATTTAAAATGCTACTCATTTACAATTCACTCAGCAGAGTGACTCATCGGAAGTAGAGTGCGATCAGAGCACCGACATTAGTACTGATGTATCGGTAAGACTAAAGTAATTAACTTTAAATTAATTAAGTTTAAAGATTTCGATTTAAATAGGATTTTGTTAATAATTTTCAAATTATTTATTTTCTTCCATTTACAGCAAATTGTTGATAATAACGCTGTATTTGATGGCATCGCAGCAGCGCAGAAACAAATTGAAGCTGTGCAGAAACCACTTGCTCAGTTTAAAATTCCATGTGGCGAACGTAAGAGAAACAATGTAAAACTTGGAAAATTTGTAATTTGCACACTCTTCTAAGTTTTTCACTACAAACTTTACATATATTCTATCTATTTACTTTAATTGGAACAAATTTCTTTTTAGATCCTGATAGTTTGATCACGGAGGCATTGCTAACAGGCAATCTAGAAGCTGCTGTAGAACTATGCATTGAATCTAAGCGTACAACGGAAGCACTCATTATAGCCTCTTCAGCTGGTATTGAATTTCTGACAAAAATACAAAACCGTTTGTTGCGAGAACAGAACACTGAACTTTCCAACGTAATTTTGGCTTTAGTAACACGAGACTGGGTCGATCTTGTTTCACGCTGTACAGTCGATTCATGGAAAGAAGTACTTATAGCTGCATTAAAACATAGTGAACGAAAGGCTCTTGATATATGTGAACGATTAGGCGATCGCCTATTAAACGAATGCTCGACATCAATTGAATATACCCAAACAGCTATGTTATGCTTTGTATGTGCTGGTAACATCGATAAGTTTGTTACCGCATGGTATCAGCTAAAACACTTGGAAAAAGAAAACACAAGTTATAAACCAAATACAACAGAACTGCAAGAATTAGCTGAAGTAGTAATGTTGATGAGCAAATCATTAGAAAGACAGGGCATAGCTTTAGATTTGAACGGTCGGTTTGCAGATTTCATCTCAGAATATGGTGGGTTACTGGCTTCTCAAGGTGCACTCACAGCTGCTTTGGCATATATCGTAGCATTAGGAAATAGTGATCATCCTGACGTATATGATTTACGCGAACGCCTTCATAATATAGTGCATAGTAAGCCAACTATGGCATTACCAACACAAGGATATAATCAAATTCAACAACCGCAAACAAATGTGTATGGTCGACAACAGCAACAACGTGGCTCATTTTCTCAGCCAAGCACCACTCACAATTATGGAAATGCACCAATTGCAAACAATTTATTACAAAATCAGTATGCAACAAATACATGGCAAACACCAGCAGTTGTACCGCAAATGCCTGCAGCACCCGTGTTTAACCCTATGCCAACAGTAAATCCGGCGGTACCGCCTGGAGTAGCCAAACCAGCAACAGTACAACATGAAGCGCCATTAGCACAGCCTGCAAGACCATCCAGTAATGCCAGTTCGCAGGGCGGTAACAGTAACACTGCCGGTGGTATATTATCACGTTCGAAATATGTGCTAGATCCATCAGTAGCAGCTCCAATGGGTAGTTATGGCAATACATACAATCCCGCACCACCAGTTATGCCCATGCAAACACCTTACAATAATAATGCTTTCAATGCCAATCCCATTTCTGCAGCACATGCACCTCTACAACAACAGCCTACTGTTATGCAACCCAGTTCATATACAAACACACCTTATGGTAATGCTTACATGCCTGGTGCAGCGCCTATTGAAAATCAACAAGTAGCGCCACCACCAATGCAGAATATTCAAAGAAATCCTACTCCACCACCAGGCTGGAATGATCCTCCAGCTTTGAAAACAACACGAGCGGTAAGTGAAGTCTGTAAAAATTTGTAACTTTAAAATAAGAAAAAGAAATATTTTGATTATTTAATTTAACAATTTGGAAGGAGAAAATGACAAAGTCTAATGAATTAATTAGGCCTACACTTAGTATGGAATACAATATTTTTTTGTGATATAAAAGACATCATATAATTGAAAAAGATACCGGTTCTGATTTTACACATTGATTGAAAATGTGAAATAGTTTTTTCACGAAACACTCCCGATACTTAATAAACAGATTTTAAATTTTTATTTTAATTAATTTTTAAACTGTATTTATTTCTATCGCTTAGACCTATATCACAAGTAATAAAGAGATGCACGCAAAACATGCCGGCACACGCAAATGGCAAAAAATAATTGATCAAGAAAAGGATAAAGGCGTTTGTATAAATTCTAGCAATTCCTTGAATTATAATAACGCCTTTTCGCCGAATTATTTTAGTCCTCTTTTTCAAGAAACGTTCTTATATCAGGTATTCCACCCAAGCTTCTAGTTGGTATTATCTGTTTCACGTTTTATTAATTTAATGTTTTATATGTTGTTTAAAATTGCTTTGGTTTGAAATTTTTTACTAAATTTTTCAGAGGTAATTATAAAAACCGTTCCTTAACAAAAATGCTGTTTGATTTTGTATTAATTAATTTTACTGTTTAGATTTATTATTAAACTCTGTTCTTTTTGTAGGCAAAAAAAGTTGAAACAAATACTACGGCTTCGCCTATCACACATCCATTGTTTGGTGTTGATCCTAATCAAAATCAAAATGGTTATATGGATCCTAATGCAGGATATCAGGTATGTAATTATTTTAATGAAATTTGTATTAAATATTACAAAAATATTTAATCATTTTGTTTTTTTTTTTTTGGTAGAATAATGCAATGTCTGGTATGCCACCTCCAATTCCGACAGGGAATATGGGAGGTTATTTAAATCCCGCTGCGAATGCAACCATACAACAAAATAATAATCCTATTGGAAATCGACCATATCCACAACAAACGAATTTTGCACCAACTGGTGTGCCAACACAACCACAAACTTGGAATACACAAACACAAAATGTAGGATACATAGAGCAACCAGCACCCATACAAAGGCAGCCAGAGCCTCCAAAAGAAAAGCCACCACTACCAGAAGAATACATATACTTACAAACTGTATTAGAAGAACTGAAAAATCAATGTTTGACAGCGGCATCTGATCCTGTATGTATTTTTACTCATATTTCATTTTCAAAAATTGTTACGTTTTGTTTAGCCCAGCGTTATTATTTTGTTGCCTAAATAACATAGAAAAATAATTGCTAATTCCGGCTAGTTTATCCGGTACTTGTAGAGGTTTGTTTGGTTCACTGTCTTTGTTTATCCTGAAACTGTGATTGCAGTTGTGACTGCTCCTAGAAAGTAGAGAATAATCATTCTTGTTAAATAGAATTTTTATTTCACAGTAAATAATTATTACTGATTCTTTTGACTTTCGAATTTAAAAAAATGTTTCATTAGAGTATTTAAATTAGAGCTGATAAATTATACCATTTAATTCAAAGCAATATCATTCGCTGAATGATACTTAATACAATGGGATTAATTCGAATTTACCTATTTGGAAAATAGAAAACCGTGAAGGCATTTTTATTTTTAGCCTCCTTTAATTAAGGTTACGTAGCAACTGTTTATTTTCCGATGCGAGGCTGCTGACATTGTGATCAACCCCCAAACTGGAGGACCAGATTCCCTGCAGATCTAGGGATAACATTGGTATTTGGTAGCTATAGTTTCCCCTCTGCTGGGTGTTTTCAGATTATAGCGCCTGTGCTCGGTCGCCAGAGTCTCGTATGCGAGAACAGGATACACCAGTTGTAGGTGAGGTTGAATATTGAGGAGGCTAAACTTTATATTCGCATCACTATCTCATTGAGGCACGCACTTCTGCCACTTGCATCCCTATATTTGCTTACTGTGTGACAAAAACGATGTATAGTTTCTCAAAATTGATTTTTCGGCTTTTGAGATAATTTGAGGATGAGGTGAAGTCTACAACCCATTTTTCTCCTATGCTTTTGGGTCCTTGATAATAATGGGTTAAAGTTTAAAAATTTGACGTTTTGAATTGTTGATATAGCTTTTTTCTATTGAATTTTTTTATTTTTAATGATACAAATTTAGAATCTTCAGCAAACTTACTTTCCCAAATCCCAGTGTTTTCCCTTTTCACTCCTTCCCTTTCAAAATGGAGTTTTCATAAAACTGTTTAAAAACGGTTTTTTCTAAATGATAAGAAATTCTATGAAATTCATATATTTTTTAAAATAAAATATTATTTATTAACCCTTTAAATACGCGACTTTTGAACAATAATCCGTATTATATAAACTATATTGTTCGCATCTTCATTATTTTTATTTTTTATAACTTTTAAACAGAAAATCGTTTTTAGCGTTCCTCTCATGATAATTAATTCAATAATATTCGCAATTCGCTTTTATTAATTCATTTATGAACATAAAAACTGATTTACTCAGATACTTTTTGTACTATTAAAAAATAATCATTTAAAGACTATTCTCTTCTAAAAATAAATACAATCAGAGATTATATAATTATAATTATTTTAATTGAAAATTTCAGCGTATGAAAAGAAAATTTGTTGATGTTGTTAAACGATTAGAAAATCTTTATGATTGTTTAAGGGAGAGCAGGGTATGTATGATTTAATAATTTATAAATTTTTAAACAATTTTTTAACAACCATTTACTTACAGCTCAACCCGATAACGATAACAGCACTGAATGAAATAGTACAGTACATACAAGTAGGTGACTATGGAAATGCTTTACAAACTCATACTCAGATAGCGTTTGGATCAGATTTTTCACAATGTGCCGGCTTTATGCCAGGCCTTAAAGTGCTCATACAATCAGCTTCCGAATTACAAATTTATCTACGATAAAAAGTTATTCAATTTATATGGATACTTATTATGGAATAATATCCTTATTAACCATTTATGATTATGTTCATTGTAGTAGTTTTATTTTTTGTCTTATTGTATTTTATTTTTATTACAACTAATTCCATTTAAACTTTTAAACGAACTTTTTGTTTGTACCTTCTTAATATATATATTAAATCAAATTTGCATATTTTTATTATTGCGTTCATTTTAAGTATATATTTTTTGGTGTGCTTTTCCATATCAGTTATCTTATATATATCAAATTCCTTAAATTATAGTATATAATTTTTAATATATAAGGGGATTAAAAGTTTAGGAAACTCATAAACTGTATCGTACATAAATAATACAATAGCAATATTTTGTAGTCATTGCCATAGGAAGGATGTATTTCGATTTATATTCAAGCACTAGGTATATGAAAAGTAATCCTCTTTATATGTTGTATGTATCGTATCTTATCTATTGTTCAGTTTATGTATAAAAAATGCATTTAATGCATAACAAAAACAATAAATTAAGTATAATAATGCAATAAAAATAAAATTATTATTTCCCTTTATAAAAGAAACTTTTCCGATAATATTTCATTAAAAAAATTTTGCTACTAAATTGTAACCATGACTTGTAGTTCAATTATTGAAAGCTATGTCTTCTTACTAATAGTATATTTAAATTTATTTACCAATCAAATTATACAGAGAAATTAAATTCTTTGTCAAAAATATTGTAGTTTTGAACCCTCTCGATGCAATAAAATTGTAAATATCAGATTCTCCCACAACCAATTTCCAACTAGTATATTATACCTTATGTAAATAATTTGAAAGGTAATTCTCTCAAGGTTCACAAAGAGCATCATTATTTTTGAAAAGAAATATGAGTTTCTAAAAACCCACTTCACTTAACTGTAACTATCCTGCTATAAATATCAATATAATTTTTTAACATTCAAAAAAATTTTGTATATAATAATACAAGTTTTGCTTTCACAACAAATTTTTTTGATGTAGAAAATCGTAAAAATTTAATTAGGGGTTTTCAAGATCTCTGTGCATCGTTGCATGTGAAAAATTTTATTTGATTTTACAAAAACAATTGCCTTTTTTATGTTTCTGCAATTGATTACCAAGGCAATATGCAAGACCATATTTTCAACATCAATTACCTCTTGCATATGTGATTTTCAAGACTCTATTGTGAATGATACTACTTGTTTTTACTATTCACTGGGCAATACTTTAGCAAAACTGTCAAACTTTGTTGACAATTGTTTGATTTTGTATTTATACCTATACATATAAATGCACAAATCTAAATTACCCATTAATTCTGCAACAGGAAAATCCAGCACAGTATTCAATATATTTTGCTTTTCACTTTTTTTTGGCATCGTTAAAATTATACAAATCGAATCTGAGTTACAAATAAATAAATACAAAAACAAAAATCAGCTGTTCTAAGTGTATGCAAGACTAATATGCAAAAAATGTATTCACGATTGTTTGAGTTTGCAATGATGCACATTCAACGATGCACATAGATCTTGAATACCCAAAGCTACTACGATTAACTCGTGGAACAGACCTTATTTTTCAATATTTATTTTTAAATAACAACCCTGGTTTCCATAATAACATTTCCAGCCGATTACTGATCAATATATTAAAATATGTAACAACTGTCAAAATGAAAAACCTTATCGATAATGAAAACGCTAAATCAACTTTAGCAAAGTTAGTTGATTAAAGTTCGTAATGTGAACCCCGTATGATATGCATTTTCGGCATAGACCGAATGAGTCAATTTTGCTGTGTTCGAGGCACTCTACTTAATTAATTTCAAGAGTCTCAAAATAATAGGTGAAGCGGTCTGACTTCGGAACGGTCGAATGCACCTAATAGCTTTATATATATGTAAAATGAGTGCGTGGTGTTTTTTCATTATAAATGTATGGCAACACTAATTTACTTTTTTATTTTTGCTGTCAATTTTGACAGTTTGACTTGTCTTTAGAAAAGCGAGAACGCGTGAAGTTGGTCGTGATTCTATTCTGATTTTTGTTTGATTTAGTGTTCAAAAAACTTGGAGCGAATCGTTGTTCAATAAACAAGTTGAAATATTAATTCCAGAATATTTTAAACTACTTTGTATTTTAACTAAATTTAACTCAAACCATGTCTGGTAAGTGTGTTTGTCCGACATTATAATATTTGCAATTAAAAACATAATGACATTTCAGAAAACACTCTTTTTAATATTATAAGCTATGATGGAGATGAAATAGAGG